GGAGCTGAGGAAAGACATGTCAAATATATTCCATGAAGGGAGAGAAAACAGCGTAAACCACAAGGCCTCAGGGGGAAAATTTTTGAGAATGGTTGGGCAAGACTCTAATGGGGAATGCAAATATATTACTACAGAGACCAAAAGAGGGGACTTAAAAAACTAGGCGCATGTGCCCTGGAATGGTCAAGAAAGTGCCATTTTACAAGTGATACAAAGATGTTTGCTCTCCTCCATATTCATCTAGATATTCAAGACATTTTTTCAAATTACAATCACAAGAGGAAAAAAAATATGGCCACGTTAAAAAAAAAAAAGTAGATGCAATTCTAGCCAAGTACCAAGCAGTGACTTATGTTTTCTTTTCTTTCCGGATCTGAGTAAGCTGGTCATAAAAATGTGTTATGGAGGTCTGGGTGTGGTGGCGTAATGCTTGCAATCCCAGAATTAGGGAGGTAGAGGCAGGAGCATCGGGAGTTCAGGGTTATCCTCACTTACACAACTCAGTTACAGGAGACCCTGTTCCCAGAATGCAGAGAATGTCATGGGCTACGTGGCTCGGCAGTAAAGACACCACCAGGCCTGATGAACTGAGTGGGAGAACCAAGCCCCACAAGTTGTCCCCTGCCCTCCTGTCTTAGCTAGGTTTCCACTGTTGTGATAAACACCATGACCGAAAGCGTGGGGAGGACAGGGTTCATCACAGCTGATGGTTCTACGTCACAGTCCGCCACTGAGGGAAGTCAGGGCAAAAACTCAAGTCCAGAACCTGGAGGCAGGAGCTGAAGCAGAGGCCATAGAAGAATGCTTCTGTTTTTTTTTTTTTTTTTTTTTTTTTTTTGGTTTTTCGAGACAGGGTTTCTCTGTAGCTTTGGAGAGAAGACTGCTTCTTGCTGGCTCTCCCCCATGGCTAACTCAGGGCCACCTGACCAAGGATGGCACTACCCCCACCTGCCATGGGCTGTGCCCTCCCAAGTCAATCATCAGTGAAGAATATGAACCAGGCCAGGCAATGGTGGCGCATGGCCTTAATCCCAGCACTCAGGAGACAGAGGCAGGCGGATCTCTGAGTTCAAGGCCAGTCTGGTCTATGGAATGAGTTCCAGGACAGCCAGGGCACCACACAGAAACTCTTTCTTGAAATCACACGTTAAAAAAAGGGGGAGGAACCTAACAATGTACCCCCCCCCTCAGCAAATAGGTAGATAGGAACATTTGTGTGTGTGTGTGTGTGTGTGTGTGTGATATTTTTCAAGAAAGGGTTTCTCTATGCAGCCCTGGCTCTCCTGGAACTCACTCTGTAGAGTAGACCTAGGCTGGGATCAAACTCACAGAGATCTGCCTGCCTCTGCTTTCCAAGTGCTGGGATTAAACGTGTGCGTCACTACACCCAGCTAGGAGCATTCTTCTTATAATGGACCTAATGCATTTGGATAGGTGTGCTGTCAACACAAGCACCATAGCTCATTCCTGTTGCCCTATAATAACATCAAAATAAATTTAAAAATATGCCTTTGCCGGGAGGTGCCTTTAATCCCAGCACTCGGGAGGCAGAGGCAGGCGGATCTCTGTGAGTTTGAGGCCAGCTTGGTCAACAGATCTAGTTCTAGGACAGCCAGAGCTATACACACACACACACACACCCTGTCTGAAAAACAAACAAAGAAAACACTGTCCCTCTAGATAGTTTATCGAATTACTGTTTGCAGGAACAGGTACGTGGTGCTCTTTGCCTTTATAATTTTCCCCTCGGGGTTGTGTTTTCTTCTTTGACGAATTAATAAGTTCAGATGACAGAAGCGGTTGAGAGCAGGGCAGATGTGGTACAAAGGTTTGCACATCAACCTGGGTGGACCCTAGGGGCCCAGCCGGGGAGTTGGGACGTGCAGAACTATGCAACCATTCGTTGCTCTAGGCCACAGACTCATTCTGTAGTCACTGGGCACAGGCTCTGAATGCCAGTGAAGTGCACATGTCCATGAAAAGCGTGCTCTCAATACACAGTCAGGATGGGGGGCACCAGGGGAAACAGGAAGACAAGGCGAGGGAAGAACGGATGTAGGTGGTCTATGCAGGTCAGAGAAGGGAGGGCGGAGCACGGAAACGGAAACTGGGACGGAAAGGAGGCGTGGCCAGGGAAGGAGGCGGGCCTCAGAGAGGGGTCACAGGAGGAAGTAGGTGTGGCAATGCCTTGGGAACGGAGGGTGGGTGGCTAATATGTAAACAAAAGCCTCCCTCCCGTGCTCTAAGAGGGAGTTCAGGGGCGAAAGAATCATAACAAAGACAGGAAGCCAAGTAGTGAACAAACTGAATTCAAGAAGTGCCTAATGGACTCCAGGTCTGGGCCAGAAGCAAAGTCCGAGGGAGTCTTGGGCATCCTTCCCGGGAAGTGGCAGTCACAAAAAGAAGTGCCCCGGGGCCCTTGGGGGAGGTGGCAGATGAACTCATACCAGAAGGTGACTCTGAGGCCCCCTGAGACCCGGAGTCTGAAGGCCAGGCAGGGAGAGGTATCAAGGGGAGACGCTGGCACTGCAGTGGGGATGAGCCAGGCGGGATGAGCCACGTTGTCGCCTGCTCTGGGAGGCCCGAGAAGTAAATATGTGCACAGACACACAGAAGCACCCGGAAGATCGGAACAGGAAGTGGATTCCGTGGGAGACAGAGTACAAGGTAGTTTTCTGTGTTACCGAAAATAAGCTAGTTGCTTTCTTGTTTTGTGTAGGATTGGGGAAATCGGAACCGTGTGTAAACTAGACAAGCACTCCATCCTCTAATTATAATATGCAACTCCTGAAATCACAAGGGTGCAAAACACCAACCGGCCAAATGTCGTGAGGAAGAGAAAAGAACTATCGGGTCTTTGTGGTAGGTGCCTGGGAGAGAACAGATCGACCAGGGCGAAGGAGCCAAGTCTCTGCTACAGACACAGACGAACTAGTGGAAAGACACGCAAGCCTCGTGGCTGACAAACGTCTCATCTTCCTAAAATAGTTCACGGGGCTGTGGAGTGGCTCGCCCGTCGGGTGCTGAAGCGCTTGCTGCCCAGCATGGAGACTTGGGTTTGAGCCTAGCCCTCAAATGAAAAAGCCAGGCAATGTTTTCCTGAAATCTCGGTGCTGGGGAGGTAGAGACGCGTAGCGTTTGTTAGGTGGGTTAGATGGAATTAATACATGGCGTTTTCAGGAGAGGAGGCAGTGGCCTAAGAGCTGATCCCTAGATGTCATTTTACAGTTATGGCCAAAATGTTGTTTTCTTGATCCTCGACTCAATTCTGGTTCTATGACAGAGTTCCTACTGCTTGAGGGTGTGAATTAACTGTGAGAGGCATTTACTCCTGCTCCTGGGTGCAACTTTTCTGCTATCAGGTAACTGTCCTGCTCTGAGATGCCAAACTCTTCTTTCAAGAGCTAAGAAAATGACTTCTTTTAAAAATTTTGTTGTCAGTGTTTCTGGGTTTTTTTTTTTTTTTTGGTTTTTTTTTTTTTTTTTTTTTTTTTTTTTTGGTTTTTTGAGACAGGGTTTCTCTGTGGCTTTGGAGGCTGTCCTGGAACTAGCTCTTGTAGACCAGGCTGGCCTCGAACTCACAGAGATCCGCCTGCCTCTGCCTCCCAAGTGCTGGGATTAAAGGCCATTGTTTCTGTTTTTGTTATTTATTTATTTACTTATTTTGAGACAGAGTTTCTCTGTGTAGTCCTAGCTGTGCTAGAATTCACACTGTAGATCAGGCTGACCTCAGACTCAAGCCCAGCTGCATTTTAAGAAAAGTTGGATATAGATAGATAGATATAGATATATACTTTTATGTGAAATTGGTGTTTTGCCTGCATGTACATCAGTGAAGATGCCAGGTCCCAAGGTTGCAGTAACAGAGAGTTGTGAGCTGCCATGTGGATGCTGGGAATTGAACTTGGGTCACCTGGAAGAGCAGCCAGTGCTCTTAACTGCTGAGCCGTCTTTCTAGCCCTAAAGATATTTTTCCTCCTCCTGCTTCTTTAAAAAGCAAACAAGCCAAGGCTGGAGAGATGGCTCAGAGGTGAAGAGCTCTTGCTGCTCTTCCAGAGGTCCCTTGTCAGGCAGTTCATGGCCACCTATAACTTGAGCTCCAGAGGTCCCATGTCAGGCAGTTCATGGCCACCTGTAACTTGAGCTCCAGAGAATCCAACGCCACTCTCTTCTGGCCCCCACACATGGACATGGTGTCACACACAAGTAAATAAAACTTAGAATCTCAAAAAACAAAAACAAAGAAACCGCTTGGGCTGGAGAGATGGCTCAATGTTGAGAGCACTGGCAACTCCTCCAGAGGACCGGGGTTCAGCACATAGCAGCCACAGTGATCACAGTCACCCATAACTTCAGTCCAGGAGATCTGACATGGTCCTCTGGCCTCCAGAGACAAAGACTTGGTACACACACGTGCTTACAGGTAAAACACCCATACACATAAAATGCAAAATAATAAAAAAATTAAAACTAACCGTTGTGATAGTTTGTGTTCTGACAAAGCTTGCCTGGAGATCAGAGGGTGTGGCTAGTCACTAGTTAACCATAGAGGTCTGGAGGTCTGTACAGAGAGGAGACAGGAAGTGATAAGGTGGGGGCCTTGACCGAATCTCAGCCCCTTTGGTCTCAGATTTCATACAGGTAAGAATTCTAGTGGTTGGCTGCTCTGCTTCTCCCATCTTTCAGCTTTTACCTCCTAATGTCTGACTCCAGGTTTTTATTTAATAAGATCGATTAGGATCACTCTTCAACTAATTAAACCATATTTGTATTTTGCTAATAAGAAAGATATAGATGAGTCAGATAATGTGGTGCTCGTCTTTATTCCCAGCCCTTGGGAGGCAGAGGTAGACAGATCTCTGTGAGTTTGTGTGGTGATATCTTGCTTGATGAGGTAAAGGTGGCTGTGGCTTGCTCCTGCTTCTCTCTTAGCATTTTCCTCTATATCTGACTCCGGGTTTGTATTATTCATGCCAATTAGAACTACATTTACATCTTGGTGCCCAACGTGGGGCCTGAACCCACGACCCTGAGATTAGGAGTTTCATGTTTTACCGACTGAGCTAGCTGGGCTCCTGTCTGTGCAGACCTCCAGACCTCTATGGTGAGCTAGTGGCAAACTCCAGCCTCTGATCTCCAGACAGGCTTCATTTGTACAAGCAAGATATCACCACAAGTTTGAGGCCAGCCTGGTCTACAGAGTGAGTTCCAGGGTAGCCAGGGCTAAATGAAGAAACAGTGTCTCAAAAAGCAACCAGAAATACTTTATTTATGTGTCTGGGTGTTTTGCCTGCATGTGTGAGGGGACACAGCCTACTCAAAAGCACGTAGCTCTGGCAGGCCTTGCCCTTCTCCATTCCCTCTGCCTTGCTTAAAAAAAAAAAAAGTTATATTAAACATTCCTAAAGCTGCCACCAAGATCTATTCACTTAATTGGCCACTTCCTCCTCCTGAGGCTGACTACCAAAGTTCAGCTATTGAAGTATTAAAGCCCAGCAATCAGAAGCTCCCTTTGGCTCACCTAATTGACATGCCCAATTAAAATTAAACATCTCATGAAAACACGGGATTTCCCCTTCTACAAACTGCCATCTGCCCGCGTGGCACGTGTCTCCTCTATCTAGAGGCAGTCCTTTGTCCCTCAGGACAGACACCCCTCCTCCTCTCCCTTTTCCCAACCCCCTTCTCCCTCATCCTCTGTCTCCTCCACAGCACACCTAGCCCACTGCAACACAGACCTCCCCTTTCTCTTCCTGAAATCACACCTGCAAGGTCATTTGCTGCTGTTTTCTGCCTAAGTCAGAAAGCGGCCACTTTAACTTGTCACAGAAAGATAAAGGATCTTTCTGTGAAAACAGATGTCTGGGTGTGGTTTGTGCCTAATCTGGGGTCTGAGATGAGCCCCCGCCCCCTGTGTGGGAGTCCCCTTCAATGTGTGTGTCTGGTGGAACTGGAATTACAGACAGTTCTAAGCAGCCGTGTGGGTGCTGGGAATTGAACTCGGGTCCTCTGGAAGAGCAGCCAGTTCTCTTGACCTCTGAGCCATCTTTCCAGCCCCCACATTTCTTTGGCAACAAGTGGAACCCCAGATGAGAATCCCCAAGGTTTCTGGTGACATGTGGTGACCACAAAGGGACAGAACAAGTAACTGAACTCCAGGACCTTATGAGCCACCTAGAAAGGACCTTACACAATGAGTTCAGCCACTCCAATGGCTATCACAGGGCTAAAAGCAGATCCCAGTTTCATCACTCAAGTCTAGCCTTGGAGGCCAGAAGAACGACCCTGAGGAGAAGCCAAATAAACTAGATATTGGCTGGTGCTCCTGGAGACTGCTCAGGGCTCTAATGTCTATTTGGGGCTCCTGGAGCCTGCTCAGAGTTTATGTCTGTTAGGACCCCTGGAGCCTGCTCAGGGCTCTCACATCCTTTGTTAGGACTCCTGGAGCCTGCTCAGGAACTGTAATGTCTTTGTTAGGGCTCCTGGAGCCTGCTCAGGAACTGTAATGTCTTTGTTAGGGCTCCTGGAGCCTGCTCAGGAACTGTAATGTCTTTGTTAGGGCTCCTGGAGCCTGCTCAGGAACTGTAATGTCTTTGTTAGGACTCCTGGAGCCTGCTTAGGAACTGTAATGTCTTTGTTAGGACTCCTGGAGCCTGCTCAGGAACTGTAATGTTTTTGTTGGGGCTCCTGGAGCCTGCTCAGGGCTCTCACATCCTTTGTTAGGATTCCTTGTGGTAGTCTGTGTAGGGCTTGCAATGCTGAGCTGTTGTATAAACTCATGGATGCTCCCAGCTGGATGAAATCTTTAAAAGAAAAAGGAGAGAGAGAGACAGGGAAAACTAAATATTTGCATGGAAATGAAATAACATGGGTACAGTGTTGTATGTGTTGTGTCATATTTAGAATGTCAAAAGATGGGAAACACCTGTAATAAAGAACTTCTAAATGGCTGGGAGTGATTGCTCGTCCTGTGATACCAGCATCCAGGAAGCAAGGCTTGAGGACTGCCAGGGGTCTGAGGCAAATAAGCAAATTCAGGGAATTGGAGAGAGGGCACAGAGGTTGCAGGGGTCAGGGCGGAGGTCTCTGCATCCTAGCCTTTCTTCCCTGCTCAGAATCCAGTCCCTAGCACCATCATCAGGTAGCTTACAACTGCCTATGGGACAAACTCCAGGGCATCCGACTCTCTTCTGGACTCTGAGGGCACCTGCAACACACTTGGTATCTCACAAAGTGGCGCATACACATAAACAAAAGTCTTTAAAAAACAACGAAATAGCCAGGTGATGGTGGCGCACGCCTTTAATCGCAGCACTCAGGAGGCAGAAGCAGGCGGATCTCTGTGAGTTCAAAGCCAGCCTGGTCTACAGAGCGAGTTCCAAGATAGTCAAGCTACACAAACACACACACACACACAGAACTACACACAGACACACACACAGACACACACACAGACACACACACACACACAAAACAAAAAACAATTTGTTTTTTGTCTGGAAAACAACAACAAAAATCAATTACGTAAGATGGCCACTACTAGTCTACTACTGCTTTTAGGTCATCGGAGAATAAGGAAGTAGGTGTGAATATTACCCTGTGTATATATACAGATCTCTAACTATTCTTCTGTAATTACTCTTGTCTGTATAGGCACCACCAACCTAACTTATTAACATAGTTCCTTCTAGCCTCCTTCCCTTGCTTATGACACACACACACACACACACACACACACACACACACACACGCACATGCACACGCGCACACACACAGAGCAAGAAGGGAGGAAGAAAAGAAATGAGTTAAAGAACTTGGTGATTGTGAGTTTGAGGCCAACCAGTGCTTCAATTTGAGAACTGCAAATTGTTCAAGAAACAGAAAGAGGGCTGCTGCCTAGACCTCCCTGTTATGTGATGGACTGGAGCCCTTGAAGCCAGTCTCTTTATGTAGCCCGGGCTGTCTCCAAACTCTGCCTCCTTCTGCTCCTGCCTCCCAAACTGAAACAACTTTGGAGTCGATGTCACCAGCTTTTGTCTCCCAGGTCCGTGTGAGCAGCCTTGAAGCATCCCCAGGCCAGGGTAGGTGAGGCTGCAGAAGTGGAGATACTGAGATGGAACCCCACACTGTAGCACCCTGTGGTTCATGGGAAAGGAAACATCAGACAGAATTGTGATGGGACTCTCTGCCACCATCCAGATGACCACGCGAGTGTCATGCTTGCCTCTGCTGGGGAAGTCTCAGTCTTAGGATATATATGTTACGGGTTGGTCCGGCACTTAGGAAGTATTAAAATATTAGGAAATGGCTCAGGTGTAAAGGCTGATGACCTGAGTTCAATCCCTGAACTCACATACAGTACTGACTCCTGAAAGTTGTGCTCTCATGTGCACACACACACACACACACACACACATACACACACACACACACACACACAGAGTTTAAAGCTAAGGTGGCAATTTTTAATAAGATGGAAACCAATAATTTTAGATTGCATTTTTTAATTTTTTTATATGCATTGGTGTTTTGCTAGCATGTGTGTCTCTGTGAGGTGTCAGACGTCCTGGAACTGGAGTTACAGACAGTTGCGAGCCGCCATGTGAGTGCAGCGGCCAATGCTCTTAACCACTAAACCAACTCTCCAGCCCCTGCTAGGCTGCATTTCTTTATGTGCGTGCACCCAATACCTTAGTGCTCTGATGGACATCAGAGGACAACTTTGGGGACTCAGGTGTCTCCTTCCATCGTAAGAGTTCCAGGGATCAAACTTAGGTTCTCAGGCTTGACAGCACCTGCCTTCAACCCGCTGAGCCCATCCTGCTGGCTTATGAAACAATAAACTTTGTCTTCTATGCATTTTACCACATTACAGTATAAATAAAATTTCAATTTAATGAGCCCATTCTCTTTGTTTTGTTACGCCGTGTGTGTTTCTGTATTGGGTGACGTTTTAGTTCATTGCTTCTAACTATTGTGTAGTATTATGTGGTTTTCCATAACATTTCAGACCCTGCTTTCTCAGAGACCAAAAGAGCAAGCAAGGAGATACTCTGAGTGAGCTGAGAGGTGGGACTGTTTCTCCGACATCAAAGGCTTTGCAGTCAGGGAAAGGGCTTGGGGGAGGGGCAGCATCTGTGGAAAAGGGCATCAAGAGATGAAATCCAGATTGCCAGGGAGTCAGTGGAAGGCGGGTCACACGTCTGGGAGCAGACATTTCTGTGCCCTGGACTAAGGGGGGAGAGCAGAAGTGTAGGCTACCTATCTTTGGGAACACATCCTTGGGAGGACACAGTGGGAACGGCCTCCCAGGGCTGTGAGGTGCATAAGGCAGCGTGGGAAATCCAGTGGGTTGCAGTCAGCGGGGCTGGGAGAGCAGTGTGTGTCGTTTTCTGTGTTCTAACACACATCGCACACAGCCATTGTTTACACAGTGAATACTTGCTGATGTCGGGTCGAGTATTCTAAGTTTATAAACATCGTGTTTAAATTTATAACTACAGACCTCATGCTGTCTGTGATGTTGAGTCCAAAGGCTTAATATTTCTTTGTGTGCCACATCTATTATATTTATAATCTAATGTTTTGTGTTTTCCCTTTTTAAAAGATTTATTTTAGCTGGGCTGTGGTGGCACACACCTTTAATCCCAACACTGGGGAGGCAGAGGCAGGAGTGTATCTGTGAGTTTAAGGTTATCCTGGTCTACAGAGTGAGTTCCAGAACAGCCAGGCTACACATAGAACCTTGTCTGGAAAAACAAAACAAAAATTTATTTTTTTATTTTAGAAATTATTTGTATATATCTGTGTGTAGTTTTGTACAGATCCCCTGGAACTAGTTACAGGTGGCTGTGTGAGCTGTCTGGGATAGGTGCAGGAACTCAATCTCAGACCCTTTTTGAGAGAGGTACACTTTATAACTGCTGAGCGAGTCTCAGCCCTGGGTTTTTTCTTCTTTGTAAAAGATTTTACTTTTTTTTTTTTTTTTTTTTTTTTTTTTTGGTTTTTCGAGACAGGGTTTCTCTGTGGCTTTGGAGGCTGTCCTGGAACTCACTTTGTAGACCAGGCTGGCTTCGAACTCACAGAGATCCACCTGCCTCTGTCTCCCGAAAAGATTTTACTTTTAAGTGTATGTATGTGTGTGTGTGTGTGTGAGAGAGAGACAGAGAGACAGAGACAGCAAGCGCCCCCAAAGGTCAGAAGAGGGTGTTGGAACTGGGGTTATAAGTGGTTGTGAGCACCCCAAAGTGGATCCTGGGAACTGAATTTGGTTCCTCTACAAGAGCAATGTGACTTTTAAATACGGAATCGATCTTTCTTTCTGTTACAGGTGTGTGTGTGTGTGTGTGTGTGTGTGTGTGTGTGTGTGTGTGTGTGTATTATTGAGGAAATAGTCAGGTACACAGGGTCTCTAGCCCAGGCTGGCTTTCAGCTTACCATGGAGTCTGGGCTGGTCTTGATCCTCCTGCCTCTGCCTCCCTCGTACTGGGATGATCACAGATGTACAGCTTCGTTTTCACAGCTTCGGCTGTTAGTCGACGTTCTTTTAAGACAGGCGCTGTGACGCCCGACTGAAAGGAGACAGTGAGAGAGAGAAGTGACGGTCGCGCCCAAGACAGAGCCCGCCAGTGCCCTGCAGCCTGTGTCAGCTGCTGCTCTCACTGCTGTGGCAAAATGATGCACAAAGACAGCTTTCTTTGGGAGGCTTCCTTTGACTCACAGTTGGAGGCTGAATGGATGAGTCCTAACGGTAAGGTAAGCTCAAGAGGACGAGCGGCTGACAGCGATCACGCTCGATCACGCTCAGGAAGCAGAGGGCTCGATCACGCTCAGGATGCAGGGCTCACCTCTTCTTACTCCTTCTAGGATCCATGGGGATGGTGCCGTCCACATTCAGGGTGTGTCTCCCCACCTCAGCTGGCCCAATCCAGGAATGCACTCAAAGATCTGTCTCCTTGGAGACTCCAGGTCCCATCAAGTTGGTACTCACGATGAACAGTCTCGGAGCCCTTATTTGAAGTACATTTATGAGTCTCTTCAGTTTTGCTCCAAGCCAGAAATGATAGTCCTAGTTCACAACAGTTAAGAGAATATCTCAAAACAGCTAGTAGAGAAGATTTGAAATGTTCCCAGAAAAAGAGTGTCTGAAAAAGTGCGTACTCCAGTGATGAGGGAAGTCCTGTACATTTGTTAATAAAGCACTGTTGAGCCAATAGGAATCTAGATAGGTGGGACTAGGAGTCCAGGAGGACTCTGGGAAAGAGAAACACAGAGTTCGACATGTAACGCCATGGGGTAGGAAGCCCGGAACTATTCTCCGGTAAGAGAAATACTTAGATTAACAATTATGGGGTAATTACTTAAGTCAGAGCAAGCCAGTAAGAAACAAGCAAAGGCCAACAGCTTCATAATTAATATAGCCTCCTGTGTGTTTATTTGGGGACTACAAAGCGGCAGAGCCCAGGCAAGTGGTGGGGGATAACCCTAAGCGGCTCCTCACAAAGAAAAAGCTTCTCTTAACACTCCAGTGATCCTAATTTAATATTATACACATATATTGGCATGCCACACAGTACCCCAAAACACATACAATCCCTGTGTTAATAAAAATATATTTAGGAACATAGAGATGGCTCAGTAGATATTTCCTGCCTCTACCTCTCAAGTGTTGGGCTTGTGGAAGTATCCCACCATGCCTGACTTATGTGGTGCTGGGGGTGGAACCCAGGGCTTTCATGCATTTTAGCTAAGTGCTCTACCCGCTATGCTACATCTCTAGCCACTTCCGATTGAAAAAAAAAGTTAGGAGGTGGTGGCAAGTGCCTTTGATTTCAGCACTTCTGAGGCAGAGGCACTTGGAGCTTTGTGAGTTCGAGGCCAGCCCGGTCTACAGAGCTAGTTCCAGGACAGCCAGGCCTACACAGGGAAACCCCGTCTCGAAAAACAAACAAACAAACAAAAAATCACTAGTTCCAGTCCTGCTTTGGGGTTCTCTGCTTTCCCTTCCAGTAGGACTTAAAGTTTAGCAGTTTTTCACCCCAGGGAGAGGGACACAGGGTGGGTGTCAGCATCTTCTGGGTTCTGAGATAGTTGGGACATTTGCTTTGTTTTTTTGTTTGTTTGGTTTCTTTTTGTTTTTGTTTTTTTTTGTTTTTTTTTTTGGTTTTTATGAGACAGGGTTTCTCTGTATTGTTTCGGAGGCTGTCGGTCCAGCCTGGCCTCGAACTCACAAAGATCCGCCTGCCTCTGCCTCCCGAGTGCTGGGATTAAAAGCATGTGCCACCACCGCCCGGCTTGTTTGTTTGTTTTTTGAAACAGGGTTTCTTTGTGTAGTCCTGGCTGTCCTGGAACTCACTCTGTAGAACTGGCTGGTTTCAAACTCACAGCGATCCAACTGTCTCTGCCTCCCACGTGCTCAGATTAAAGGGGTACGCAGCCATTCCCTGCTTTGATGGGGTCCTCTCGAAAGTTCAGATGACCTGCTAGCGTTAGAAGGTCCCTGAGCCGCCTGCTGTCCTGACATCCCCCGGGAGATGAGCTCTTTAGGGAGAGAGCCTTGCAGAGAGCAGGCAGAGGGAAGGTAGGCCCGGTGATCCAGGGCCTTCAGAGGCTCCCTCGAGGGAATGACCTGTCACATGGGAAAGGACCCCGAGAGGAAGAGAGGGGATGGCAGCACAGGAAGCAAATCCTCAGGAGACAGTCGGGTGTGGCCTAGATGGAGGGAAGAGGAAGCTCTTTGCAGGCTGACTAAATGTGGTCTTTGAAGTGACAGGAGCAGGGGTAGGGCTGGAAAGCCAGGAGGAGCGCTAAAAGGATGGGATCTCCTGTTGTCCCCACAGCACAGCAGGGTGGGCCTGGTCAACACCAGTCAGCCCCGCTGCGGGAGGGAACTGGAACGTGTAAATGGACAACGTGACTGCTCCACGGTATGGCTGAGGGGATGGCTTTTATTGCAGATACCAGGGAGAGAGCAATTAGAGGCATCTGAGCAGCCCAGAGCTGAGAGAGAAAGTAGCAGATTGAACATGGCCAGCAGAGAGAGGCAGAGGAGGGAGATGGGAGAGAGAGAGAGAGACAGAGAGAGGGAGACCGAGAGGAAGACCAAGAGAGTGTGGGCAAAAGAGAGGGGGAGAGGGGAAGGGGGGATGGGAGGTGGGGACAACAGAAGCAGCAGCTGCTTACAGGCCAGCCAGCCTAGAGTGTCCTGTGCGGTAGCAGGAAGAGAGATCTCCCTTCTCACACCAGAAGGGACCCCTCCTTGTGTGGCTGGCTCTTGCCCTGCGGTGCCATCTTTGGAAGGAGGGGAGGACAGAGGCGGCTCAGGGCCTTGTAGCCTCTGGCCCAAGTTCAGGCTTCACCGGCAGCTGGTCCAGGGGTGTGCCCCTTATCCCACAATGCTCAACCCATCTAATAGTTCCTTTCCCATAGGCGTGGGACTGGGGTGAGCGGTTAGTATCCTGGAACAGTACCACGGCCCCTAGAGGCGCTTCCCAGACACACAGTGGATCCCCCTCTTTGGTGTTGAGTAAGTGACAAACCATGTCCTGTTTATTAGAACAATTTTATTAGAATAAAATCCATGGCGGTGGGGGGGGAAGGGGAGGGGAGCAATGGAATTTCTGGCAGAAGGACTCTGGCTGGTGTGAGTTGACAGCATGGGGGGACACTAAGCTGGCTGCAAGGCTGCCTTCCCCACAGAAAACTGGAGAAGAGTCCACCTAATTTTCAGTCGAAACACTCAGGACATGAGAATGCTCAGGGGTGGGGTGGGGTGGGGTGGGGGGGGTTAGAGCTTCCGTGAGGCCGGGAGTTGGGCACAGAATAAACACTGTGCCTAGGGCCCTGGAGAGCCAGGGTAACAAGCAGCACCAGCCGTCATGTCCAGAGCCCCGCCGGCAGGAGGGAGCCCCAGGCTTGGCATCTCCCTACCCCCACATGGTTATCTGCAGCCACTGCAAAGACAGCAGAAAGCAGAAGGCCGTCTGCAGTGGATGGAAAGTGAACGAGACTAGAGGGGAGGGGACCATTTGTGGCCCGGACCAACCTCCCTCTTCCTTCCCGCATACCTGCTCCATATTCAAGCAAATAAAACCAGTATTCTTGGGGTCCATGGATAGGAAGAACCCTGTTTTAAGGAGAATGTGGGATGGGGGTTAGTGTGGAGATGATGGGCTAAAGAGCCCAGGCCCCCAAAAAGGAGAAACTTGCCCATCACAACTGGTTAGGAGCCAGGCGGGGTTATGAGCACTTGCCGAAGACTCATTTGCTCTGTACAAGAGTACCGCGGGATGGGGTCAGTACTGACCTCTTGTTAATGGTTTTACATTGATTGATCGATTGATTGGGTATGAGAGGGGTATGCGAGTGCACACATGTCACAGCTTGCACCTGTGGAGGTCAGAGGACAACTTGTGGTCCTTGGTTCATTGCTTCCTCTGTGTGAGCCCTGGGAATTGAACTCGGGTCTTCAGGCTCAGTAGCTATTTTGCTCTCCCTGTTGTTTTAACTCAAAAAGTCTCACTAAGTTTCAGGGTTTCCTCAAACTTGTGATCCTCCTGTCTCAGGTCTCAGCTTCCCAAATTTCAAGTACTTATAAATATGGGCTACCATGATCCATCCTTGGGACAATATTTTATTGATTTATTTTTGGGGGACAGGGTCTTTTGGCTGACCTGGGCTGACCTGAAACCCACTCTGTAGCTGAGGATGACCTTGAACGCCTGATTTTTCTGCCCCCATCTCCGGAGTGTTTGGATTAAAGGTGTGCATCACCACGCCAGGGCTTGGAGCCAGCTGAGCAAACACTCTACCAACTGAATGACAACCCCAGCCCCTGGCGCAGAACTGTCACCATCTGTACTGTGTCTTCTAGAGAAAGGGATCGAGGGACAGACAACAGGCACAGCCCCAGCAAGTTGTAGATTTGAACTTGGGTCAAGTGTGTTTTCTGTGTGGGAGTGGTTCTGCAGAAAGGACTCAGGGTGAGCAGTATGGGAACATGCCACTCTTCTTGGTCTGATCTGGAGGTAGGGGGCAGGTGCCTCACTCACCAAACATGGCCTTTAGCCTTAGGAAACAGTTGATGAAGCTGTCAAAGTCCACGATCATGTTATCGTCTGCATACCTAGCCACTACTGCCTCAGTTACCTTATTGTTCATCTTAATGCCTAGGAGACAGATGGGGCGGAGGGTAGGGAGCATTCAGGCTCTAGACCCAACTTCCCAGCCCCCTGCCTCTGGACAGCCTCCTGATGCCTGGCCACCTGCTTTCTCTATTGCCAAGCGCATCTCGTAGGAGTTCAAGGTCCCAGAGCGGTCCTCGTCACACTCCTTGAAGATGTCCTAAAGACAGACAGATGTCATCAGGCCATGTATGTAGCATAGTGGTTGACATAACAGAATACTGCAGCATGACTGACTTACAATAGCTGCCCAAGACCCTGGGGCCCCACCACTCAGACCAACCACTGAATCTCTAATGTGCCTGTTATCTGGTAGTTGAAGGGTTAATTCCAAACATAGCGAGGGAATGTTGGCACCCTGCCCAGTGTGTGTGTGTGTGTGTGTGTGTGTGTGTGTGTGTGTGTGTGTGTGTGTGTCTGTGTCTGTCTGTCTGTCTGTCTGTGTCTGTCTGTCTGTCTGTGTCTGTGTTGTGTGTCTCTGTGTGTTTTCGGTTCTAATAGCTTCTTTGCTAGTTCCCATCCTTGGCTGTCTCTTAACCATCCACTTCTTGAGCTTTTTCCACAGGATCTGGAACTCCAGGTAACCAAGCTTGCCAGTACCATCTTTCTAGGGGATTAGTTAAGGATAAGAGTGAAGAGGGCATCCTAGGGATGAGGGGACAGGGGGCCCTGGCACAGGCTTGGGGTTCCTGAATGCTAACAGCCAGAACTGGGATCTTTAGCTGCCCCCAAGGCTAATTCCTATCACAAAGGAGTGTACTGAGGCTGGCTAGAGAGATGGCCACCCTGAATCAGCCTTGGAGGGCATGGGGAAACGCTGGTTCGGATTGCCACAGGGCAGAAAGATACATCCATGAGGTTGACCATACGACGACAAACATCCAAGCTAAAGCCCTTAGTCTTGAAGATCTTGACTGTGAGGGAGGCAAGGCAGGAAGAAGAGACAGGTGACTTCTGTGCGGGACAAGATGGGGTAGCCTTTGCAGGCCTGAGCTGTGGGGGGGGGGTGGCCCACTCACATTTACTTGACATCTTGTTGAGGAGTTTGTGTAGCTCATACATATCTACTTCCTTGTCCTAGGAGGAGAGACCGTGATCATCTGCTCTGCTCCTTTGGCCCAGCGGTCACCTCCCTTCAGCCTCTGCCTCTGGCCTTCTTACCCCATTTGCCACTATCTCGAACAAGTGCACGGAATCCTGGTCCAAATCCTTCTCAGAGACGGTCTCCTGGGGGAAAGAAGCCAGGAGGGAGGGAGCCAGTCTTAAAAACATCCATCATGCCCCAAGAACCTCCAAGTTTTCTATTACCTCTTCTAGATGCTCAGCCCAGTTGACTTCATCCAGCAACCTGGGCATAAGAGAGTGAAGGTTTAGGGATAACTAGGGGCCAGAGAGATGAGGTTCTCCATGGGGTGATCTTGGAAAGGTCCTGTCATTGTATATGGGACAGTATAGAACAATCCATCGAATCTCAGCTCTAGTTTTACTGTTTCTATTACCAGCTTAGACCTCATGCCTCAGTTTCCATGAGCATAAATTAGGACTGACGTGGGGGAGGGCCAGAGTCCGACCTCCTGTAGCTCTTGGGCAGGGAACCTTGCTGCGGTGAGGTTGGCCCCTCACCAGGTCTCACTGTGTTTCTCCGTGAAGATCCGAAGCAAGAAGTCAGCATCTTTATGGGGTTCAAAGGTGGAGGGGATAATGATGTATTCCCCTGGAGGCAGCCGAAGATGGCTGTTCACTTCCCGTGAGTTGGTGAAGATCTCTGAAAAGCCATGGTCCCGATATTTCGTAAAGAACTCTTTCTTCAGATGGATGTCCTGGAGGTTCTGAAACTGTATGTACCCTGGAGGTGGGTACAGGACTAGCCCAGGAGAGCCAGGAGAGTGGATCTCCTAGGGTGAGTCATCTTTTGGGCAGGATTGGTGGTGGGGACCAATACCACTGCTGTGGCCTGGACCCCTCCCATGTGATCAAAACCCCCAGTGTGGTCTCACCCCTCCCTGATTCTCACCGTTGGGTCACAGCAGTTGGACTCCTAACTCAGGGTTCCCCAGACCTTTCTTCCAGATCCCTCCCCTTGCCAACCCACATGCAGCCAGGGGTGAGCTGGACGCCGGCCCAGGAATCAGCCTTTTGTACCTCCTTAGGGACCTGAAAAGAAAAGAGAGAAGAGATTCAGATCTTCAGGGCAGTGAAGGGGCTCTGACCTTCAACTGGGTGAGTGTGTACCGTGCGTGTGAGCACAAGGGTGAGCCTGGGTCGGGGCATTGGTACAACGGGGTGGGTAGGGTGTAGGCTGTTGGCATTAAGAATTTGTTTTCAATATCAAAGTCCAGTTTGCACAAAGTTTGCAAAGGCCGCTTTTTGTCGCTCGGGGTTAAGGACAGGAGACTGAGTTCTGGAGAGACAGGGATGATTTGCTGGAAGGGAAAGAGAACTGGATGCCACCCAAGAGTGTGCTCCTAGCGTGCTCCCCTGCAAGGTAACCTGCAGCACTAGACAGGTGGCCATGGAAACGGGGGATGGACAGCAAATGCGTTTCACGTTCGCCTTTCCCCCTCCCTGGCAGCCCAGGCTTTGATTTTGCCATGTAGTTGAGGATGGTCTTGAACTTTTCATCCTCCGGCATCCACCTCCCAAATGCTGGGATAACGGACACGTGCCACTGTGCCCAGTTTTATGCGTTTCTGGGCATAGAGCCCAGGGCTTCTTGTTTTGTTTTGATCTCTGGAGACAGGGTATCGTGTAGGCCAGGCTGGCCTCTAACTATGTAGCTGAAGCTGGCTTTGAACTCCTGATCCTCCTGGCTTCTGCAGGCACCTTCATTTGTGTGCACATTGCCACACAGAGACACACACATAATTAAAAGTTAAAAACCTTGCATGTGTGGTGGAGCATACCTTTGATCCCTTCATATGAGAGGTCCAGGCAGGAGGATCTCTGTGAGTTTGAGGCCATCTAGGTCTACATAGACAGTTCCAGGCCATCTAGGGCTACATAAAGAGACTGTCTCAAAAAAAATTTTTTAAATAAAAAAAATAGTATTTTCCCTGGTCTACAAGAGCTAGTTCCAGGACAGCCTCCAAAGCCACAGAGAAACCCTGTCTCGAAAAACCAAAAAAAAAAAAAAATAGTATTTTCAAATAAGTTTGCACAAGATGAATTAAATCAGATCAAACAAAATAGGTGGTTGCCAAGGTTTGGGTGTCTGTCACTCCAAAGCTTACATAGACACTTAATACCAAGGTTCGCATTTTGTGAGTGTGTGCTTGCTGTGACACACATGTTGGGTCAGAGGACAGTCTGAGGGAACAGGCCTTCTCCTTGTACCGTGTGGGGCTGGGGGAGTCAGGACAAATGCCTTCACTCACTGAGCCTTCTGGCTGGCGCCGAACCCTTGCCCCCGCTGACTTTCTAGCCTCCCCTTGGCGTGGAGCCCAGGCTGTCACACACACCGGGCAAGCACTGGTTCTGCTCACTACTGAGAGCCCGGACACTCGCCAGGGACTGGGCATACAGTAGGATATTGTAGAGTGTCCCATGCTTGCTGACTATATAAGTGAAAGACTAAATGGACATTTCTGGGTCCTTGCCAACCGTGGGAAACGCAGACTGGGAACGCCTTCTGGCTTCTGCGGTGAGCAGTTGTGATGGAGTGGCTGGGGCCACATTTGCGTGGGGTGCTGCTGAAGTCTTTATTGCTCCAGCAATCAGGACAGAGTGTCTACCCCTGCCCCTTCAGTGTGTGAGCTCCTAGAGTCACCTCCTCCCTCCTGTCATAGAGGAAATGGTAGTTGGTGTGGTAGGTTAAAAAAAAGTCTAGCCAGGCGCCTTTAATCCCAGCACTGGGGAAGCAAAGACAGATGGATGTCTGTCAGCTCGAGGCCAGCCTGGTCTACAGAGCAAGTTCCAGGACAGTCTCCAAAACAATACAGAGAAACCCTGTCTCAAAAACAAAAAACAAACAAAAAAGAGGTGAGGCGCTGGGGAGGCAGGGGCAGGTGGAGCTCTGAGTTTGCGCCCCGCACGGGGAAGCACAGGTGGTGGGGCCCCCAGGGGCACACCGAGAAGATGACGAAGCCTATGGTGAGCAGCTGGGCCCCCACGGGCCGGGCGTGCCTCCAATTCTTCTGCATGAGGGCCACCAGGCAGGTACAGACCACCTCGCTTTGCGCAGAGCCGTTCTCCGGGTCGTCTTCCGGGTCGTCCTCCTCCGGGAGAATGATCTTAAACAGGGGGTTGCTCCAGAATGTCTCTGTGGAAGACGCAGGTCGAGGTGGTTGTGCTGGGGCAGGCCCTTCGTACCGCCGCTGTCCCCTTTCCGGGTGCACTGACACCCCAGCCTGAAGGCCCTGGCATCCAGCTGACTCTGCGCTCGAGCTCACACCCACCGGGGTTGTTCCTGCAGCCTCCGGCTGTGCTCCCCTTTCTCCAGCTGCCCTCGTAGAAGGTTGCGTGCCAGCAGCTCTTGTATTCCTGGGGCCACAGGGCATCCGGGGTGAGGTTGCAGATATCCAGGAGGGTAAAGTTGCTCATGAAGTCGTCATAGGACATCCTGGGGCGGGGGTGCACACAGCTCTGTGAGTCTCCCGCACACCTACAGGGGTCTCCTGTGGAGGGACCTCCCCATTCCAAGTACAGCGAGGGGGGGGTGATGTACATGGCCAGCCCGATGCTCCCCCAAGCCACACTGACCAGAACTCCCCATCTTCCTTCTTCCGTAGCAGCTTTATCTGGACGTCCACACCCACCTCTTCCCACTCCCTGGCTCTGCAGAGAGAAAACCGCGGGAGGTGAGGACAGCCATGCTTCCTCTCGATGGGACTTTCTGAAGGCCACCTCCAGAGTTCTGGCTGTTGTTTTTTTTTTTGTTTGTTTGTTTTTTGGTATTTGTTTTGTCTTTTCGAGAGAGGGTTTCTCTGTGGCTTTGGAGCCCATCCTGGAACTAGCTCTTGTAGACTAGGCTGGTCTCGAACTCAGAGAGATCACCTGCCTCTGCCTCCCGAGTGCTGGGATTAAAGGCGTGCGCCACCACTGCCCCGCTAGAGTTCTTGTTAAATGGAGCAGCACTGGGGACAAGGGTAGGCCCCACCGTGACGTCGGTTTCCTCACGGGTCCTGATGTATGTCTTTGTTCCCCTCCCCCGGTCAGGGCGTCTACCTGTCACTCCAGGCTCCATTCCATTCAATCCGGCCCCAGGGGTTCTGGACCCGAATCAGGGTTTCCATCTTGCCTCTGTAGGAGACCTGGGGAGGGGCACAGAAGTTCAGCGTGTGGCGGGGGGTGGCTCTCACTTACCGGTGGTTCTTAGAGGGTGCCATGAGCTGCACTCACATCCTCAAGGCCGGTGACTGCATACGCATGTCCCCTCACCAGCATGTTTTGGGTCATCGTTTCCAAGTCACTACTGCTGGTGACCTACAGAAAAGGAAGAGGGGTAGGCATTTGAGGTCTGACCTGGAGATCCCAAGAAAAACACTGTTGTATGTGACTCATAATACACATTGTAACATACATATGGAGGGTATTAAATACTGCATTGAGGCTCTCAAATTCCCTATGTAGCCATGACTATCCAACTATCCTTAAACTCCTGATCCTCCTGCCTCAGTCTCTGGAGGGATTATAGACATGAGTCAGCACATGTTGCTTATACTTTACAGATGTCTGTACACACACACACACACCAGTGCAGTCACCTATTTGTGTGTATGGTGTATGCGCACACATGGGATGGCCAGAGAAAATCAGGGTTTCTCTGTGCAGCTTTGGAACTCTTGTAGACCAGGCTGGTCTGGAACTCACAGAGATGCGCCTGCCTGTGCCTACGGAGTGCTGGGATTAAAGGTGTGTGCCACCGCCTGGATCTTACTGTTTTTACAATAAGATATTTATCTTTTACCTTGTGTGTTTTGAGTGTTTTACTTGCAGGCTTGTCTGTGTATTACACGTGTCCCTGAAGCCCTAGGAGACCAGAAGCCATTGGATCCTCTGGAACTGAGTTCGGTGTGGTGAGACACCAGGTGGGTGCTGGGAACTGAACCCACACTCTTGGCAAGAGCAGCCAGGGCTCTCAACTGCTGAGCCCTCCAGCTCCTTTCCTCACCCTTTGAGACTTAACCTCTTTTTGCACCTGAAACCACTGCTTTGGGCTCCTGGCCAGCAAGTTCCCAGGATCCACCTGTCTTTACTCCCAGCACTTGGGCTATAGGCACACATATGACCACATGTGGCTTTTTTTTTTTAAAAAACATGGGTTCAGGGGGGAATTTGAACTCAGGTCTTCTGATGTTGACAGTGAACACTCTTACCTACTAAGCTAACTCCCCAGCTCCCTTACTTTTGAAGCAACTGTAGATTCACAAACAGTGGAACAGGGAGAGCCTATGCTCCCTAAATGCATTCCCTCTGTACATTCTGCAAAATACACCACAAACAGTGTTGTGGGGCATGCCCGCAATCCCAGCACTTGGGGGGCAGAGGCAGGTGGATCTCTGTGAGTCTGAGGACACCAGACTTACATAGTGAGAGCCTGTCTCAAAACAAAGCAAAAAACAAAACAAAACAACCAAAATCTAAACTAAAAGAACTGAAAAGAGGACAAAATAAAGCAGAACTATAACACAAAGTCAGAGCCAGGACATTGCTTTTGATGCAACTGTACATCTCACCCTAACTTTAAAAATTCTTGCCAGGTGGTGGTGGCATGCACCTTTAATCCCAGCACTTGGGAGGCAGAGGCAAGAGGATCTCTGTGAGTTCCAGGCCAGCCTGATCTACAGAGAGAGTTCCAGAACAGCCAAGGCTAATAATGCACAGAGAATCCCTGTCTTGAACTACTCCCCCCAATGTAATGGTGTTGTTGTGTGTATGGGTGTTGTTGTGTGCATGGGTGTTGTATGCATGGGTGTTGTTGTATGCATGGATGTTGTTGCTGACAAAGGTCTGTGCACTACATGTATGCAGTGCTCATAGAAGCCAGAAGAGGGCATTGGATTCTCTGAGACTAGAGTTACAGATGGTTGTGAGCTGCCATGTGGGTGCTGGGAACTGAACCCTGCTCCTCTGGAAGAACAGCCAATGCTCTTAACCACTGAGCCACCTCTCCAATCCCTTCTTCTTAGCTTAATCATTTGTGGTTGGTTGTGCGATTTTATCACCAAAGTCAAAATGAGGAATGTGTTCTTTGCTACAGACGGCCTCTGCAGCCAGGCTCCTCTCTCCTCCTGCCTTTCCCTCCTCCCTTGGTCACTAATCTGTCCAGGACAATGCTGCCATCACCTCAAGGTCATAGAGAGGCAGATTACAATTTATTGGGGCTGCTGCTGTTTGTATCCTGTGATGTGTGACAATCAGTTTCTTTTGAACAAGACAATTCTTGTGATTCACCTACAGAAAGACAACTAGGTTGCTGTTCCCACTGTTATGAGTAGAGCGGCCGCAAGCATTTGTGTCCAGGCCTTGCGGGGAACTAAGTCCTTCTTCCTCTCCTCTTCTTTCCAACCCCGTCCCCCATGTAACTGCTGCTGCATGGAAGTGTTGTGGGTACGTTTATTTATTTTCTGAATAAGTATTTGTTGGGTGCTTATTGCATGCTGGGTGTCCTCTAGAGTGCCAGGGTCCAGTGGTAAATGAACCAAGTAAAGGTCTCTGCCCCCTGGAACCTTCTCCCTTCTCTCTGGGTCACAGAAAATACTGTGGAGAAAGTCACACAAAGCAGAAGATATACCAGGTGGCGACAGGCGCTCTGGACCAGAGAGAGGCAGACAGACATTTGTTCAAGAAAGGGATGGTGGCCAGCACACCTTTAACCCCAGCACTCGGGAGGCAGAGGCAGGTGGATCTCTGTGAGTTCAAGGCCAGCCTGGTCTACAGAGTGAGTTCCAGGACAGCCTCCAAAACTACAGGGAAATCCTGTCTTGAAAAACAAAAAAACCCAAACAAACAAAAACAAAAATAAACAAAAAGAAAAAGAAAGAAGAAAGGGGTAGCGAGTGAGGGAATGTTTGGGGATGGATCCTTGGGGTAGGGTCGAGGACCAACAG